TTTGATTTCTGCTTTAATTTTCCGCTCAGTGATGTGGTTCTCAGTGAGTTGCCGCAACTTGGTTTATTACTATATTCGCATTGCTTATTTCCGACACGTGGTTAATGGAGGGCCAAAAATTCACCGTTTTCACTGCATCAACAAAAAAACACAGAGCTGCTATAAAACCCTAACACCAAAACACTTTCCAAGTTAGAAAAGCGCTCAACGATTTCAACAAAATGCCACCTTTTCATTATTGGTCCAAAATTCTCCAAATATATCAAAACTGAATACACGATGTACATACGTATCACACACACAAAAACAAATTCAAGAAGCATTTTAGAAAAACCTTAAAAATCAGGGCAATATGACAGTTTCCATGCAAAATAGGCCAAAAATAACACCCCCTATTAAACCACCAGTACGTTTCCCATATGTCGGCTGCGGGCCCCGCACGCCGAGCATTTGGGATGCTAGAACGATCGTTTGTTAACACATGTTCTTGCTCGGCTGCGTGTTGCAGACTATGGGCGTCGTTAGACACTCCTCGGGACATCCTCGGACTCCGAGGATGAATCCTCGGAAAAGTATAGGGGTTTTGTCGTCTTCGTTACACTCATCCTCGGAGCATCGGTTTTAGGACTCGTCCTCGTAGCAATGTCAGAAAAATAAAAGGAAAAAAAAAGAAAAAAAGTTGTGCTTCAGGCTTTCAGACAATAGGGTGCCGCCATGATCAGAATTCTCGGTTGTAACGTCTCTCTACGTGCATGCCCTCTCCTCTCTGTAAAACACGGATCCTCGGGCCCCAAAGGACCTCGCGAGGTCCTTTGGAGCCGAGGACGATTTGGCTGGGAAATCCTCCGAGGACAAGTGTTTTCACATTTTCATTTCCGATTTCATCTCCGAGGACAGGTGGAACGAAGACAAAATCCTTGGAATGACGTCCCCGAGAAGTGTCTAACGACGCCCTACGTAGTCGAAAGATGGAAGCGATCTCACAATCGCTTCATCTCTCACAATCGTGTCAGTCTTCAGTTACCCTTAATTATACACATAACTATGTACCATTCACGACATCTACTGTGCGCACAACTCATAACCGTGGCACAGTACCCACACAAATGATCACGACTGCATTCCACGAAGCTAATCAACACATGACTGTATGACATTCACGACATCTATCATGTGCACGACTCATACCCGTGATCCGCATCCTCATACATGATTACTACTGCATTCAACCACGTTGGGATGTATCTGGCCGGCGCGCCTGCTTGGGGCCGGCCTCCGTGTTAACCGGGGGGCATTTTATTTTCGCCTGGGAAAGTCACTGGCGGTTTAAGAAACGAAGCCCAAACAATGTGTTATGTCAGAGAGGAGAAATGTAGTGCAGATCATCCTTCCAACCACTTTCTTGCATCAGAATGTTCCAGGCAAATGACGTGATTACCTGGCAATGGAAAAAAATCATACGGGACTGAGGGCCTCATTTGACACCACTTGAAAATACTGTTTCAAGGGCGCTCTAAACGAGAAATTGTGATTTTTTTTTTTTTGTTAATTAAATGCTCCAATCTATTCGTGGGGAGCATCACGTGCTGGGAACCGGGCCCAGCGTCCCTTATAATGGGAATACATAGATGATTGACAATTGATGAAAAATTGGGATGATTGAGGATCATGTGGGATGATATAGGATGTCAGAGTGGGTGATTGAGGTCATGAAATAGAACTAGATGATGACTAATCAGCAAGATTGTCTACTCAGCACTGAATTACTATCCTACCCCTAATTTCCTGCATCCATTCCAATCAACCAATCACAATTGAGCCCGTACTGTGCACCAATCAGGGCTCTTCCTGGTCTCACACCCCAATCTGGCTCGGTTACACTTACTCAATTTATGGTTCCATGTACACTTGAGGAAACCCTTGAGCAGCCTGCACTTGAAACTGAACTCCACGGCTTGACCAATCCTGGACGAGAACGCCTGCTGGAAAAAAAGAAAAACAAAAAAAAGCCCCCCGTCGAAGTGCTCTGCAGTATCCGTTCGCACTTCCAAGTGCGATTTTGCCCCAGCGGCACTTGAGTTTCAAGTATGCACACTTGAGAGCAGGAAAGTGAAAACATTACGGTGGTGTCATTGAGGGGTGGAACAAAGAATTTTCCGCCAACCCTTGAGTTCAAGTGGTGTCGAACGAGGCCCTCGGACTAGCCCCAAGCCTCCCAAATGTTTGGATTGGCTTGATTCAATTCTCAGGTTTGCGTGGGCGATGTACTGGCAGTTTAATCATGAGACTTCAGGAGCCAGCTCGCAGTTTCCTTAAACTTGCAGCAAGACCACGGGATGTGGGAGCTCAATCCTCGTGTCTTTGGGGGTAATCAATGCCTCGTGAATGGACCAGCAGGTTTAGCCAGTTGGGTATCTTACTATCTGTCCATGGTTGTGAGGTGACGCTGGGCCTGTTTCCCAGCACATGCCGCTCCCTACAAATGGAAAGGAGCCTTCAAACCAGGCAGAGTATAGATCAGGCTTGGGCTTTTTTTTTTTTTTTTTTTTTACAAAAGGACGAGATCATTCCATTGCAAAAAAGGGGGAGGCCGGGAATCCTCAACAAACAACCCGGAATGTCAAACCCTGAACCATCTGGGGCCATTACGCAGTTTCGGCTTCAGCGTTGGGAAGACGTCGAGAGACAGAAAAGGTCAGTGCGAGACCCCTTGCCTGATGGAAAGGCGGGGAAAAAAAAAAAAAAAAAAAAAAAGTTAAACGAAAAAAGTTCAGAAAACTTTAAAAAGTGAAAAGAAAAAAGGTATCAGGAAACTTCTTCTTGAATTGGACGCAGGGCTAAGAGCCTCGTTCAACACCACTTGAAAATACTGGAGTTTCAAGTGCACACTAAACGGGAAATTGTGATTAATTTACACTTACTCGATTTACGGTTCCATGTACACTTGAGGAAACCCTTGAACAGGCTGCACTTGAAACCGAACTCCACGGCTCGACCAATCCTGGACCCGGATAGCCTGCTGGACAAAAAGAAAAACAAAAAAAAAAAGCCCCACTTGGAGTGCTGGCGGTATCCGCTGGCACTTGAACTCAAGCCCCCCCAGAGAGGTACCTTGAGTTCAAGTGCGATTTCGCCCCGGCCGCACTTTAGGGACCCAAAATGGAAATAGCACCTTTCGAGGGCGGGCACTTGAGAGCCGGAAAGTAGAAACAACTCCACGACGACGTTAGGGTGGGGTCGAACGAAGAATTTTCCTTTTAACCCTCAAGTTCAAGTGGTGTCGAAAGAGGCCCTAAGTCCCACTAATGGCAGTAGCAGGGGTTCAGGCTATGTTTCGAGTATGAACAGGTTCCTGCCATCCGATCTGAACATCTCATGGCTGCATAGTGGCCACGTTGGAAACAAAAACTCGAAAGGAAGACTAATCCCCAGCTAGTGGGACTTAACCCCTAGTAGTATTATCTTGGGACTGTCGCAGTGGAACGAGCACAAATAAGAATAGTCGTGAGGAGTCTCAGGGACAAATGATGGGTATTAAGTACAAATTAAGTAGTATTAACCCAATAGAATTAAAACGTTAATCCACTTTTTTGAAGTTTTTCTTGATAATACATATCCCGCAGGACGGTCGTTGTAAACTGGAATGGTAAAGAGAAGATTAGCATGGCCCCTCCAAGGATGACAGTCAGTGTCATGCACAAAACGAGAAATGGCCCAAATCACCGGATGCAAGGCCGCCGCTTCGTGGCGCACCTTACAAGTACCAAGACAAAAAAACAAAAAAACAAAAAAACAAAAAAACAAAGAAACAAAAAAACAGGAATAGTGAAGCAGTCCAGGCGTCCTGGAGAATTTCACCAGGATTGTCTGTCCTGTCCAGAGTAATAAGAACGGTGTGCAGTAACTACGTCTTCACCCGAATACAACGCCCGGTCATTATAGCTGTATCTGGACTCAAAATTGTACGACATACGGCTATAATAACCGGGCGTTCTCTTCAGGTGAAGACGGTAGTCGTAGGGTGTGCAGTAGCTACTCGTAGGGTCTCCCTGCACCGAAGCTAATCTCGTAGGGTCTCCCTATGCCGAAGTGACTCGAACAACCTTTCTTTCCAGAAGCTAATCGTAGGACCTTCCTGTTGAGAAAGTTAGTAAGCCTCAGTTCATTTGTCATGTTGATAATGGAAGAGACGGTTTTGTTAACCAAAAAAGAGAGAGAGAGAGAAAGAGTTAGTCATAGACTCATAGGATATTCTTTTGCAGAAGCGAGTCATAGATCTTCGTGTGCAGAGGCAAACTGCATTGACGAGGCAACTGCATTGAGCATTTGCTTGTGGCCCAAGCGCCTCTGCAGAGAGATCAGAAGCTACATGACAACCCATGCAACGAGACGACCACACCACTGCACCAAGCTGCTGCTGGACGAGAACCCACTGCACCACAATCCGCCGGACAAGGACCTGGATCGCGGGGTTCCACCAAGATCGCAGTTTATTATGCACCAGAAGCAGGACCAGAAGCGTATTCCTGTACTCCTGATTTGTTTATCAACAGCTATATTTATGCATGTTCAGCTACAAGGCAAAAAACACTTTTTTGAGAGTTTTTTTCTCCCTGCTTTTCACTGTGCTGCCTTGTTTTTTTTTTATGTTTTGTGGGGTTTCAACAACCAGGTTGAAGTTCAGATAGTGTCAATGAGAAGGGGATATAGCTTCGGGATCAGAGGCCCAAAGACTCCGGTGGTCACATTACAGAAGACGGGTAACGAGTATGGCCTTGGGCAGAAGAAGAGTAACGAGTATGGCCTTGGCAACACGCTTTGAGAAAAAAAGAAAAGAGGTACAGAGTATCAAAGGAGTAAATGGTCATTCTCATAAATTATCATAAATTGTCAATCATCAATCTATTTCCATTATAAGGGACGCTGGGTCCGGTTCCCAGCACGTGTAGATTGGAGCAATTTTCATTTTTTTTTAAAAACATAAATGGTCAGGTACATACAAGTAGAAGATGTAGGAACTCCTCGCTCGAGCAACCCCTGCCTTTTCATCTTTCTTTCCTTTCGCTCTCCTTCCCAAATTAAATGTATTATGATCCTTCTTCAGAGGACTGTTGACAGCGTTCTCGCACTCAGCCTTCCCTCCTTGAATGCAGGTTGATATTTCCGTCCTCTCGTCAAGTTCGGGTGCTGAGACGTCAACAACCATATGCCTTTCGCCCTCATCCTCCACGCCCTGTGACATCCCATCGGAGGTTAGCGCATCAGGACCAGGGTTACTCTCCTGTACCGAGCTCTCTGCTCCTTTGGAAACCGTGACACAAGCCATTTCAGTATAATTGTCTCTACCATTCTTGCCTTTCTTCTCCTTTGCTTCTTTCTGCTTCTGCTTCTGCTCCTCCTTCTGTCTTTTCTTTTCTTCAGCGGCATTGGCTTTTTCCTCCCTGGCTTTGATCTTTGCAGCCTCCTTCTCTTCCTTCTCTTTCTTCTTTCTCTCCTTCTCTTCTTCTTTCTCCTTCTTTGAGCTCTTCCGATTGCCTTGTGCCTCTGTCATGGAAACCTCTGCATCATCTGCACATCCTTGCACCAAGTTTGCTGCCGCTGCAGACTCAGTTGGCACCTCCTTCAGCTCATTGTCTGCGACAACGTTTGATGGACCCTGAGGAACGTTCTGCTCACCATCATCAGGCCGGCAATCCTCATCGTTCCTGGTGCCAGTGCCTTGAACAGAAACGCTTTCTGAAACCTCTTTACCAGGGAAAGCCTCAGTTTCGGCTCCGAGGTCTAGAACTGTGAAGTCACTCTGATGTAAAAACCGCCAGCATGCCACATGGCAAAAACAACATGCATATCACTTCTCGTCCTTCAGCAAGAACTTCGAGATTTCTAAAGCTTTCAAAACCATAGGCTGTGAGTACATTACCCATAGTGAATGTTTAGGTCGCTCAGGATTCTCAGTGCATAACAGTGTAACTTGCCGGCAGTACATGCTCAAGGTCCCCAGTAGAGAAGGTCGTATCATCTTCACCTGAATAGAACGCCCAGTCATTCTGTGTGCATCTAGACTGGAAGCTGCATATCATCTTCACCCAGATAGAACGCCCAGTCATTCTGTGTGCAGCTAAACTGGAAGCTGCCCCAAATACAACTATGACGACTGGGTGCTCTATTAGGACGAGGGTGGTAGTCTGCCTAAGCACAAAGCACCAGACTTGCAGTTCAAGAGGCCCTCCAAGACTGTAGGCTATGTGGGGGGGGCGGGGAGGGGGTGTTGGGGAAACAAGCAAAAAAAGTGGCTCCCAGTGTGAGTATGCTCTCGTACGACTTCCCCTTGAACGCGTCTGCCTTTTGATCCAGTGTGTACAAAACACTACTTGCAATATGCCACAACTTTCTTGCTCTTTAAAGCTACCTGCAATCAAATGGAAGACTTCCTTCAAATTTCATTACAGATTATAAAGCAAACAGCAGTCCTTGGAAGACACCTGTTGCACCAGGTATTAGAACTGGCCAGGAGACCAGTGCGTGACAGAGAATGAAGGGCAGCATGGCCCAAAAGAAAACCGCCCCATGCCACACTGCCAGGCAGAAAAACCATTGTAATGTGTGGTGCCCCAGGGTGCCCAAAAACTTGCACCCGAGAAGGCCACAGGAACCCAGACAGCATGTGCCAGACACGCACATGCACACAACACACACACACACACACACACACACATGCACACATGCACACACACACACACACACACACACACACATGCACACATGCACACACACACACACACACACATGGAAGAAATGGGGGCTTCAGGATGTTTTAAGCAGTAGTGCTCCTGGTGTCACGTGGAGCACACACACACGGAAGAAATGGGGGCTTCTAGGGTGTTTTAAGCAGTAGCCCTCCTGGTGTCACGTGGAGATCTTGTGTGACTTTGGGATAATGGCACTCTATGCACTCCAGGGGTTAGACAGCAAAGTGAAAAGGGGGGTTGTCTAGCCACGGAATGATAGAGATCATCGTGACAAGAGTGCGTCGTTTGGTGACAAGAATGGGTCGTTTGGGATGAATAGCAGTGTCAGTGCTGTTGCACTTGTGCATTTCATCTTGTGGCTTTGTAGACCGACTCAGAGTGCTCTCCAAGTTTTTTCAGACCATTGGCGGGTGTGGTCAGTGCTTGCTTGTTGGTGGAGACTTGTGTGTTGTTGAGTATGGTTTTTTTATTTTATTTTTATTTTTTATTATTTTTTTTATTATTTTTTTTTTTTCTCCTTCCATGTGTTGAGTATGTTGCCTTTTGCCGTCCATCCTTTTATGGGCTAAATGGAGTTGCACAGGCCGACGGTCCCCCCAACAAACCCTAAACCGCCCCCCAGCACTCCCATACACCCCCCAACAACCCTAAACGGCACCCCAACACCCCCATACACCCCCAACAACCCTAAGCCGCACCCCATACACCCCCCAACAACCCTGAACCCATGCACGCTCAGCCAAAGCCTGCGGCGCAGTAGGCATGAAATGAACTCCATAATTTAATTCAAATTTCAAAGAGAGAGATCTCACGGTCGTCAATAGAGATAAGCCAAAACTTTCTGAGAAATTTTGGCCCTCTTTTTCATTCGTGCGCTTCATGGTCAGCAGACCTATAAGCGTTTTTTTTTCAGAATTATGGATTGTTTCAACTCTTGAGCCTCTTAGACGAAGAAACTGATCACCAAAGGACAGGAGGGTGGACTGTTCCCAGGTTGTCACAGCAAAGACTTCCACAGTAGTAACTGCAAGATTTCTTTTCTTTTTCCCCTCATCTTGTATTATCCTGTCGAAAAGCCCATGTGATTGCATCCCTGTATTGTCCCATCGTATAGCCCATGTGTCACAGCAAAGACTCCCGCTCACGGAATTACCTTCAGTCCATCATCCACAATGATATCATGCCACCAAGCATACTAAAATACTTCAGATCCTTAACTACATTGAATTACGAGTATCTCCGTGGCTCATTTTTCTGATGCACCATTCCAGCCTTTTTGCTACGGAACCAGGTTGCCATCCTTTTCGCTACGGAACCAGGTTAACCGAAGGGTCCGTAAAAAAAGGCTGGAGCAAGCACTGCTGGTGGGTTAAGAAAAATGGATCGGGGAAAGGAGGTGGGGGGGAAGACCATTTCATATTCCTCAGTAGCTCACATTAATTTTGTAACGATTTGTCATTTTCCGTGTGGCTAAGCCATTGCCAGTGCTATGGTTGGTGCCATCCTGAGGGTAGGGGCCAGAGACTCAGAGTTAGTTAGACTGCAGGAGCCAGCTTCGACGTCCCAGTGAACAAAACAGCAGATGACCCATATCAGAGCTTCCGCTAGTCAACCAGGCAGCCAGTCAGCTATCAAGCACCCAGTGCCCGAGTCTTTCCAAAAGAAGCAACCAAAAAAAAAAAAGAAAAGCCAGTCAGCCAGTCAGCTGGCAAGCAGCCAGGGCCTGAGTCTTCTATGAAAGAAAGAAGAAATAAAAACTCCTGTGCTTTTGTGGCTCTTCATTCAACGATCAAACCACAAGTACCTCGCCCAGCTATAACGAGCTTTTGAAGCCGAGCCGGAAAGTGCCCTGCACAGTGCGCACAAGAAAGAAACAAAGCGACGCGGGCCTCATTTTGGCTCGCCCCGCCAGCCATTTTTTGGTTCAGTAACCCGACCCGCCAACCCCCAAAAGTTGCGCCCTTATACAAGCCGCATATTTGTTTTTTTTTTTAAGCTGGGCGAAGTACTGGTCTCTTAAAAGTTCAAGTTGTTTAACAACTTTACAAGATTGTCCCTTTGAAATTCTTTGCTGCCCCACAGAATAAAAGGGTCGCCTGACTCTCTTCTTTTTTCAATGATAATAATCTATAAAAAAAGAATTCCCATTGGTTTCACATTTCCAACAGTCACGGTAGCTTACCTTTTCTTCAGCGAACTTGTGGATGATAGACAGCACAACATTGTTGAGACCAGCGCTATCGCTGACACTTGTGCTTTGTCTTACGCCGTCGATGACAGAGCCATTTTCCTCTTCTGTCCCCGCCTTCACTCCGAGTCCATTACCATCATCTCTGTCCTGATTGCCACTTCCCAGACCTCCTGCGAAAAGTGAACATTTTCATTCAAATGTACAGACATGTCCTTTGTGAGTTGTACGCTTCAGAATCTTCCACTTTTCAGTCTCCAACGAGCTTCTCCTAGTGGCATTGAATTAAGGGAAAAAACGAGGGGAAAAAAAAAAGCAACTCCGAAAATAAATGTAAGATGTCGTAAGTTGAATTGGCCGAACACAATGAACTTGAATGAAGACGAAAAATCCATTCCATACATGTAAGCACTGCGCAGCGAAACACGCTTTTTTTTTCTTCCCCTCAGAGTCTTTGTTTTCGCATAATTAGTTCGTTACCAATGGAGATGAACAAGCATTAACCTGAAATGCAAGCTTGCTTTTTTATTTTTTTTTGGTTTGAAAAGGCGACGGCCTTGAGATATCACCTTTGAACTGACAGGCCCCAGGTAAATTCAGAGTTGTTTTCACTCTCATATGATTGCAGTGGAATTCAAACTCAGGTCTGCATTTTGACAGTTCATGGGTGTACCAGTATGCGTGTCATCCTTGCGCAGGGGCCATGCTAATCTTCATTCTCCGTATCATTCCAATTTTAGCGGATGTCCCGAAGGATGGGCTAGTTGGGTTTCTAACTTTCTTTTTTTTTTAATTAAAGAAAAAAAAATGGCAACAACCTTGGTATATCACCATTGAACTGACCTGCCTCAAGTAGTAATTCACAATTACTTTTTATTCTGTTCATCTGATTGCATCTGGCTCCGAACTTGGGTCTGTACTTCAACAGTTCATGGGTGTACCAACTGAACTCGGACCCTCTGCACCCGTGTTCAGTTGGTATTTCAACAGTTCATGGATGTTCCAACTTCCAACTGAACTCGGGTCTGTATTTCAACAGTTCATGAGTGGAGAGAGGCCCTTTTAAGTTAGATAGCGGAGAAAGGCCCTTCGACAGGTAAGTGGGTCGTACACGAGTCTGATCCAGACACAGGCTCTGCTGGGAGTGTTTTGGGGAGGTCGGCGTGGGAGCTTCCAGTATCGAGGATGATGTAGAAGCACCTGCGCTATACTTGCGGAAACATGGCACGAACCTGGTCATTTTGCTCTCCAGGTTCGAGCTATCGTTGCACGAACACCCCACCGGTGGCTTCGTCCCGAATAGAGCGGATGGCCCGGGATGGGTAAGTGGACGAATTGCAAGACCACAGAAAAATTGCAACATGGTACGAACCTGGCCATTTTGGCTTCCAGGTTCAAGCTATCGTCGCACAAACACCCCACCCGTGGCTTCGTCTCGAACAGGGCGGGTGGGTAGGAAAAAGGAAACCACAAAGAGACCTTAGAGAGATTGCAGGATGGCACGAACCTGGCCATTTTCGCTTCCAGGTTCAAGCTATCGCTGCAAAAGCACCCCACCGGTGGCTTCATCCCGAACCGCGCGGGTGGGGAGTGAACGAATTTCGAAGGAAAAAGGAAACCACAAAGAGACCGCAGAGAGATTGCAGGGAGGCATTGAAAAGAAAAATATGAAGGATGCACGCCAGGCAGGGGTCGAACCCGCGACTTTCCGCTTAGGAAACGGACGCTCTATCCACTGAGCTACAGGCGCTCATGACAGAACGCCACGACTTGGTTTTATATAGTGCTTTTTGTTATACGTAGTGGGAAACTATTCAATGACATGCAAGGAATGTCGCAGGCTCGACCCCTGCCGGAAGTGCAACTTGGATGTGACAGTGTGTTTTTTGAACTTTTTTCCTGAATGCTACCACTTTTCGGTTTGAGTTTTTGGTTTCTTCTTCGAACTGAGCCTCCTCCAATTAAACCCTTGGCCGGATGTAGTCATCAACTCGATATTTGTGCACACACAGCATGAACCTGGCTGTCATCATGACCAGTTTCGTGCTAGCCCACTGCACACATAACGCCGATGTAACCTGGACCCCTTGCTCCACTCCAACTTCAACCTCAACTTCACTTTCAACATCTAACTCATAACTTCTAGACCTGAGTTCGAACTCCAGGATCATCAATTTCCAACTTCACTGTGTTCATATATAAATGCAAAGATGATCAAGCACCGCGACGGTCCCTCCCTGACGGAACAAAAAGGAAAACAGCAGAACGCTACACTGTCCCTCCCCGACGGACCATGGATCAGATATTAAACTATCAAATATTACACTTGAACTTACCTAGCCAAAAGGCCGAGAAAATCCGTTTCTTTTTTTTTTTTTTAATGAAGGGCGATGGCCTGAAATATGATTATCGAACTGACTAGCCCTAGGCAATCCACAATTGTAATCCTTCACTCGTATGCTTCCACTGGAGTTCGAACTTAGGTCTGCACTTCAACAGTTCAAGGGTGTACCAACTCTGTGTGTGTGTGTGTGTCAGAGAGAGAGAGAGAGAGAGAGAGAGAGAGAGAGAGAGAGAGAGAGAGAGAGACCGTTCCATTTAAATTACTCAGAGAAGTTCCAACTGACCTTCTGTCTCACAAAGCAGGGCGCTCAAGGATCCCAACACACAGTTCCCTTCATTCTCTGCGTGATTCCGTGAACCAGGACCAGAAGGAGCCGCTGGTGCAGCCTCTGGTCCATCCGCTGGTCCAGCACTTGGAATCCTGTTCGCATTCGTTCCAGGAGCAGGTTCAGACGCCAAGGAGCTCACGTGTGTCGTTGGTTCTTGACTTTGCACCTGGACAGCATTCTGCAGAGGCACTACTTTCTCCTCCTCCTTCAAGTTGGACCCCGATACCACAGTGGTGTTCTCGGAGGATTCATTACAATTCTTAGCACTGGTGACAGCGACCGGAGCAGACGTCGGATGCTGATTGGCGGCGGCATGACGAGTCCCATCCCCATCCACTAGTAATCCAGGAACAGAATCATCATCAGCAGCAGCTGCCATTTTCTTTGAGCCAGGAACAGAAACTGTTCCTGGAACGGAAACCGTTGCTGCGGTTACATGACTGGCAGCGGGTGCTGAAGCAACTCCGTTTTCGGCAGGTTGTGCACATGATGCTTCGTGTGTATCATTGGGTGGTCGACGATCCACCATTACTTCCTCCTTCTCCTCCTGCTTTCCCTCGGGAACAGATATGCCATTGCCATAATCCTTGGAAGAAGTGTCTCCTTCCTTCTCATCATCAGAATCCGAATCAGACTCCGAGCTGGAATCCGAGCTCGAACTCTCAGCCGCGTCCTCCTTTTCCGTCGGATCCAATTTTCTTTCGCTGCAGTACATGGAGAGAGAGAGAGAGAGAGAGAGAGAGAGAGAGTACAGAAGCCGACATATAGAGAAAAAGGGTTCAGTTAGTACTTCAGTAATCTCTTCGTTTAACTTTAGAATGCATCTGAAATTCAAGAAAGTGTCCATCCAGCGAGCTGTTGAAATTATCTACAGCACAGGGGACACCACAGGAAAAGAGGTCTGACCAATCACTGAGGAGGGATTGCTTTCATAGTTCAAGTTGGGCATTCGTTACACCTGCCTGTGGCATGACAAATGAGACTCTTTCAAAGGGGATAATCGGTAGAACGAGCCCGCGCCAAAACCTTTCCGGTTTTGGGCGCCCGAAACTCGGCCGTTCGGTACTACCGGCCCAAACCGTCTTCAGCCTGGGTGAAAGGCGCCTTCGCACCCTGGCCACATCTTCCTGGGCCTGTTTTTACCGGTTCAAGAATTTGATGCTGTTTTCGCACCAGATTCATGAACCGGTAGGGCCCTTCTTTTTCAAAATCCCGTACGTGGGCCTCATTCGATACTTCAGCGGTACCACCCTCGGCCTCTTTTACATCAAAATGAATCTGGCTCTGTTATGCGGCAGATTCATGATCCGGTAGGGCCCTTGGAGCCACGCGTGGGCCTGTAGTACCCCACATGGAAGTCGTTGGGTGGGCCGGTAATACCAAACGGCCGAGTTTCAGGCACCCAGAACCGGAAAGGTTTTGGCGTGGGCGCTTACTACTGATTATCCCCTTTCAAAGTTCACACACACAGTGTCACACACACACACACACACACACACACACAGAGTCAACGACTTTTCTCTCGAGGGTGGGACTCAATCAAGCGGGACCTCGGCCCTCCAGTAAGGTGTACCTGGCCCCTGAATTCCTCCGTTCAGAATTTGAAGTCGATTTTCATAAATTTAATTTATGCTCATAATTGAAAAAGATCCGACTATGGGGTATTGGTAGCTTTTCTATAATAAAAGAAAAGGAGACAATAATAAATGAACATAGACAAGATACAGTGTTTCGTCGAAAATCCCAATGTCCCTCTCAAGAATGCCCATGAATGGTCTTCAGACGGTTATCTGCATGCTCTGCACCTCGACGGCGAAGACGTCCAGGTGCACTCGGACACGGTTCTCACACATTTCAACAGCCCTACAGGGCAGTCTGCTCCAGCCCGCAGTACTGCGCGAATGATTGCTTCCTGATATAAGCCCGAACACCCCACACCATAGGATGAGCCTGAATCAGGACACATTTGCACCATCAAATTAGGTCTATTTTCAGAATTATACCGATCATCATACATCATACACAGATCGTCACTCTGTCATAGAGATAGCTGTGCTATCCCCTCACTATAGACAGCCCTCGCCCTTCGTCAGACCTTTTACGTTGGTCAATATAGTAATATACCTTAAAAAAAAAAAGAAAAAAAAAGATGGCGCTATATTAGTGTTATACCCTGACAGCCATGAGTCCATGACTGACCATAATAGACAGCGTCCGACAGCACGAGGCCATCTTCAATTTCCACCGTGAGATAATCTATGGATACGGTATGGAAAAGGTATGGTCAGCCCAGTTAATTAAATGGATGTTCTAAAGTATTTTGGCCTCGCTCCACTTCTAAACAAATGTGCAAAATAGACTGAATTCTCCGTTGGAACATGGGAAGTTGGGAACATAAACCGCCGTTTTTTTTTGTTTTTTTTTTTTGGCGCAGGGGGCATGCTAATATACTCTGGCGCAGGGGGCATGATAATATACTCTGTATCGCTCCAATTTTTACGGATGTATTTTGTGCATGTGGTGACTACCAGAGCGAGGCCCTCTGTTGGGCCTTCTTTTTTTCATTTTTCCCGTCTTTTTCTTGAAAAGGTGCCGGCCTTTAGATATCATCATTGAGCGGACCGGCCCCAGTAATTCTGTTCATCTGATTGCAGATGGATTCAAACTCGACTGTGTTTCAACAATTCATTGGGTGTACCAACTGAGCTAGGAACGTTGGTGTTGTGTTACTTCTCGTTTAACTTATCACTTACTTCTCAATGTCCTCACAATGACCGATAGTTTGGGGGCGCAGTGGTTAGACTATAAGTATCTACCCTATCTCAATAATTCCTGGTCGAACACAGATTACAAGGGAGAAAAAAAGAACAGAGATGGGAATCATAGGATGAATATTTCAGGAATTCAATATATACTATAGATATACTTTTTCAAAATAGCTTTACTAAATAGGATAAATATTTCAGAAATTCAATAATATATAGCAATTATATACTATAGATATGCTTTTTCAAAATAGCTTTACTAATTCTGTCAAATGTCTTTGTCTGTGCAATTATATACTATAGATATGCTTTTTCAAAATAGCTTTACTAATTCTGTCAAATATCTTTGTCCAAATCAGCCAGTCAAGTTCTATCCTGGGGCCAAGTCCCACTTAATACCCGAATGATCGATTTCTGACCGCAGAATTTGGAAGATCAACGACCAGAAATCATATATCAGCGTAAGTGGGACTTGGCCCCTGGTAAAGGAAGTGATCAATGCTGCTCCCTGTTATCTCTCTTTCAAATTGATCCTTGTTCTTTTCTTTTTTTTTACGAAATAACTTTATTATTGCATACAGCCTCGGATTGGTCCAAATTTGTGACAGCAATCAAATGGGAAACTGATCTCCATGCAGATCATAGGTTGTTTAAGAAAACAAATAAAAATAAAAATCGTAGATTGCCAATCAAAGGCATAGCAGAACGACGACCTTTCGTGTCGAAAGAAAGAAATAAGAAAAAGGAGGGAGGGAGGGAGGGAGGGAGGCGGAGGCGGGGGCGGGGGAACCGTCAGCTTACTTTAAAACTATTCCACACACATTCACGAAACGTGAGCGCCTGTAGCTCAGTGGATAGAGCGTCCGTTTCCTAAGCGGAAAGTCGCAGGTTCGACCCCTGCCTGGCGTGCAACCACGTTCTTCGCTTTTCCAGAATACAGACTGTATTCCGGTCTGATCTGGCATGAGAATTGTCGCAGGATGGGGAATCAATCATTTTCGATTGAGACTGATTGACCGCACACGCTTGGACCTCCACTCAAGCTAGCTACCGGGGCCATGTCCCACATGATTCCGCTTCCTTTTTTTCTTTTTTTCTTTTTTCAACTAAGCTATATTCTTCTCTCAATTTCACCTTTGATTTTCTACCTACCTGGGCCATGTCCCACGGGATCCCACTTCTTTTTTTTTTTTCTTTCTTTCCTTTTCTTTCCCTTTCTTTGTTTTTCTGTTTTTTTTAATAACTAAGCTATATTCTTCTCTCAATTTCACCTTTGATTTTCTACCTACCTGGGCCATGTCCCACGGGATCCCACTTCTTTTTTTTTTTTCTTTCTTTCCTTTTCTTTCCCTTTCTTTGTTTTTCTGTTTTTTTTAATAACTAAGCTATATTCTTCTCTCAATTTCGCCTTTGACTATCTACCTCCTCCTCCTCCTCCTAAGCCTATACAGGGGACATCTGCAAGCATAGCTACCTCTGCATGTTGCCCCCCGCCCTACTCGGCGGTGGTCACTGGTCAGGGAGTAGGGTGGGGCTGCCCGTTGGGGCGACTCAGGCTAATACAAAGACCGAGCATTTTGCCAGTAGCTGCGCCTGCCATCTACTTTCCCCACCCCTAATCGGGTAGCAGCAATGCAGCAGTGGCTAATACTGGCTATGGCCAACACTCTCCCACACACCACACACAACGCCCTCACGCTCAAACTCACACTCACACTCGTTTTGGTCATAGAGCCCACTAGGTAGTACCGATCAGGGCTATGATCACAGCTGGTTGGCACTAAGTGCGCCGCAGGTGGTCATGGGGCTCGCACGACCTCCTGAATGCCACTTGGATGCCTAACCACCTGAGCTAGGCCGCTGGATGGGATTCCTTTTTTTTTTTTTCTTTTTTTTTTTGATTTTGAGAAGTTGTCACTTTATATTTCAGAACAAAAATAGTCGAGGCCGGGGACCTCACAATTCTACCCGGTGTTAACAAGATAAAGCCTGCTGGAAACCAGGTCCAGCGTCCCACGAACGCCTAGTCTCAACAGGACAGAGCTCCTCAAAATAGCCTTGAAGCACAGAAAAGGCGGCTGAACTAATCAGTAACAAACCTCTCTTGACTTCTCCAATCCCTCAGCCTATAGCATGCTATCCTTGCAACGCAGAGAATGAAGTACAACACCGGCATGTTTCTAAAGTCAAAGCACTATTGGCAAAGGACTACAAATTATAGACCACAAATCTCAAAACACGCAAGGCGATTCACGAGAAATTTTAACCATTTTAACCCTAAAATTATTCCAACAGCAGACTAAATAATCCCAAAATTTTAACCCAGACTCGTAACAACTTCAAACTCACGTAATTGTATTATCTCCCAAAATTAAGCTATCAAACACCAACCATCCAAAACAACCACATATGTAGAAACCAAGAAAATTCCCATACAGAAGACAGGATAAGAATGACTGCGCCTGAAAAGGGGGGTGAAAAGAAAACTAACGATAATTTCCAAGTGGCACAACGTCGAGCGTGGAACACTCCCCTCACCACTCAAGGCATGGGTGACCCTGTGACATCCTCCCTATTCTGAAGGTCAGCCATCCCTCCAAGCACGTTAAGCTGGGAATTAACTTACCTGTTGCGCCCAGGCGACGATCCCACCACCACTAGTAAGCCTCCCACCCCCACTAACGGTGCCGCCACCCCTACTGCCGTAGGTAGTTTCAGAAGAACATAATGCACCGTAGTTTCCAGGATGACCCCGGGTCAAGCGTAGAACACTCCTCGTACCACTCAAGGCTTGGGTGACCCCCCAGTACTGTTTCCTGGACTTGGAGAACTACCTCTTTTACAACATAAGCTACCGTGTGTCTTAAAAGACAAAGTACCCTGAAAGAATCAACCGCAACAGGAAAAGTCTCGGGAGCTTACCACATGTAACAACCCAA